CCCCAAAACCCCAAAACCCCAAAACCCCTATTGGAAAGTTAGGGTTGAAATTATAATTATATAACAAAATGGGCATATCGGGTTTATTACATTTCTTAAGACAGATTAAAGGCCAAGTAAGTTTTTAGGCCAAAAAGGCCAATTTCAAGTCTTTTTAACACTTTATAGGGCATTGTTACTTCAATCTCAAAGTATTCAGGGATGACAGTGGCCGTAGATGCCTCTTGATGGATCCATCAAGGAGCCTATAGCTGAGATTTCAGTGAAGGGATTGAGAATTGTGCTAAGAAAATCATTAACTTTGTACTAAAGAAGCTCAGAATGCTTCTTGAACACAAAATAAAGCCCATAATAGTATTCGATGGGGCTCCAATTCCAATGAAAAACCGGATTCAGGAAGCCAGAGCCAAACTCAGACTAAAATCTAGAGAGAAAGTAGCCAGGATGCTCAGAGAAGGTAATAATGATGCTACTAAAAAGTACGGAGAGGGGTTTACCATGACTCCTTATTTGGTAAATAAACTGTATAAGATCATTAAGAGTCAAGGCTGCACCTGTATCGTGGCTCCTTATGAAGCAGATGCTCAGCTTTCCTACCTCTTTAAGAAAGGAAAGGTGGACATGGTCTTCACTGAAGATTCTGACCTCATCGCTTATGGAGTGACAAAACTGTTCTATAGGTATGACAATGAAGGCAAAGGATATGAAATTGACATGGAAGGGCTATTTTATGAAGACCAACTTTCTGATAAAATACGAGGAGAGCTCCCACACCAGATTTACAACATTGATGACTATCTCGAGCCTAACTCTTTCGAGAATCACTCAGAGGAAGATGCTTCAATATGCTCTATTGGGAGTCACAAGGCATCTCAGGCAAGTTCCGATAGAGATCATGTTGAAAAAGTGCCTATTTTCAGTAAGGAAAAGTTCTTACTGATCTGCGTTTTGGCAGGATGAGACTACATTGAGCCAATCAAAGGAGTTGGGTTTAAGACTGCATACAAACTTCTGACACAAAATCCGACTGTGAAGAAGGCTATCATGAGTATCATCGCTCAGAAGAAGTATACCGTTCCTCAGGGATACCTTGAGAACTTCAAATTAGCAATCATGACTTTCCTATTTCAGGTAGTCTACGACCCAGAAAGAGAGGAATGAATAAATCTGACTAATCCTGAAGAGAACAAGGAGTATGGCGACTTGTTCTTAAACTACAAGAATCAGGACTTCTTAGGTCGGAAAATTCCGAAGGAGTATGCCAAGGACATCTGTACCTGCCAGATAGATATCAGGACTAAGAAGCCATTTGACATGAACAGCCTGTTTCTAGAATACTGAGAATTGAACAATCCGTTGTTTTTGACTAATTCTTCAGAGGATGAAGAAAAGTCTAACGGATTAAAGGAAATTTCTGATCCATTGAATATATTAATACACAAGAAAAAGAAGCCAGCCACTGTTCAGAAGAAGTTCAGCTTCACTCTTGGAAAGAAGGTTCGACCCAGGAGAAAGCGCAGAATTCCCTCTCCTTTCCGGGATAAATTGGTAGAGGATGTTGTAAATTTGGATCACCTTAATGAAGCCAGGCGAGACAAGAACTCAAAGATGAAGAGATTTAAGCAGCTTATATTGACAGAAAATGATAATGCGATCGGTAATTCAGACTCAGAAGAGGATGTACCTTCAAACTCTCTCATGGCTATGTTTAAACGAGCCAAAAGGAGTGAGGAGGACACTGGACACAAGGATGTGATGATTCCTAAATTTCAAACAATAAAGAAAAAGACTTTTATGAGTTCTATCAAGACTAGTCCTGATCTAAAAGAGGCTGAGGGAGTTCCAAAGCCGGCCAAAGGTACTGCAAGCTGTCAGGACTTTATGCTGTACTAATCTTGAAACACTCTTACCCCAATATGTATAATTTCTCTAAACAATCTTCTGTTTCTACTTGTATATCTGGCTATTAACAATGGTTGACTGGGTGATTCTAATTCAAATTTTCAACAACTAGTTTTTGCTAAGGGGTTTTGGGGTTTTGGGGTTTTGGGGTTTTGGGG